ACAGGAAGCTATTTTAATCAAGCAAGAATTCATGTGACTAAAATAGTGGGAGTGATAGCCCTTAATTGGTGTTAATGTAAAAATATTTAGTAGGCCAATTCTATAAAATAAATACTCCAGTGACAGAACTACTTGATTTCCAACATCCAGATATACTCCTTTCTGCTTCTTAGAGGTAAGGGAACTCAAAGGCCATAAAAATTCCAACCAAACCAACCCAACCAGCAATTCACAAGTGACCTTCGTGTCAGATTGTACCACATATGGTCATGTGGCATACTTTCACACTCCTGACCTATTTTTCTCAACTTCACAGTTTGAGGACTGATTAAAACACACTTAAATTTATGAATTTAAACCTAGCCCTAGTCTAACATCTCATACAACCATTATTTCAGTCCTAAACCCAACATATTTTAAAACAGGTTAAGACAGTGTAATCAATCTCTTTAACCCAACCACCTGTAATGAAAAGTAGCCATCCTTCTACAAAAGATATCGTTATATTGTCGATAAAAGGGTAAGACAAAAGGGACCAACTTACTTTATCAATGTTTGTGTTATCCAGGGCAGCATCTATCTCATCTAAAATAAAAAAAGGTGCTGGCCGAAAACTGTAGAAGACAAGACAGTATTTTGCATTTAGATGCAAAAATGTTAATAAACATTCTAATTACTCTAGAGATTCACTTACTCTATCACAAAATTTTTGTAAGAAGTAATGACAGGTAAAGAATAAGGACTTTAGTAGTGTTTGAATGCTCTATTAGCAGTTTTTTTTAACATGTTTGTAAGTGTAACACTATCTTTCTGCCACTTACTCAGCCACATACTTGGATAATACCATAGTATTTCTTTTACCTGTGTATAGCAAACACAAGAGCCAGAGCTGCCACAGATTTTTCACCTCCTGACAAACTGTCCATTGGCATAAAGCGTTTTCCCGGAGCCACGCAGTTAAAGCCAATGCCTTCCAGATAAGGCTCCTCAGGATTTTCAGGACTAAGGAATGCCTAGAAACGCATACATTTAATTATTAATAGTGACATTTATAAAATTATTAGGATGGGTATTTTTTAGCTTTAAATACTGACTGAGCTAGTGTTGAAACTGGTAAGTTAGCTTCATTTGCAGGAAACACCTGTTCACCTATACTGAAGAGCAGCACTATAAAATTTCCCAGTGAATATGCCTTTGTTAACAAATCATGAGCTAGGAGGCTAATTAACTAAACCATTTTGGAAATGGCTCCACATACTTGTTATACAAATTTTCAACTACTAAATAAACATGATTTTATCCCTTTTATGTAATTGCTTTGATTTTTTTTTTAATTATTAAAATTTTAGATGTCAAAAGCAGTCTTCTTTTTTTGTCTGGAAGTAAACATACTTCCAAAATTACACCTTTTTGTGAAAGGTTAGTTCTACAAAATCTAGCTTTGAGCTGGAGAAAGATTTTAATATAAAAAGATAAAAGCAAAATTTCCATAGTTGATACTCATTTCAAATGGCTCCTCTTGGATCATAGATGCAGTGAAGGAAAAACAAAACAAAACACTACATGTACTTTGATTTAAAGTAATTTCTGTGGTAAACAGTCCTGGCTATAAGATATAGTGCTTGCAGTATCTATGTTTTGTTGGAGGTACGCATATTTTCCTCTTGTTCTCTGCTGAGAGAATGCCCATCATTGTTATTACAGTGTTCTTCAGGCTGTAAATATGTCATTGTAAATACCTTGCAATGCAACTCCCAGTTCTATGCCACTGCATATATCTACGCGAGATATATGCAAGATGAAGTTTTCAGATGTATGGACACTGTTAGTAAAAATCATCTTGTAGCTTACTAGGGTACATCAAGGTATGAAAGGAACAACATTCCTCTCTCCACAGAAGAAGAATGGAAGAAAACTGGCGGTGAACCCAGCAGTGAATCTGTACGTACAATTTCTTAGGCACTAGTTTCTTTTAAAGTACTTTTAACTTCTAAAGTGTGCTGATGAAATGAGCAATATATTCAGTGCAGGAATGTTCTGAGTCCAGAATCTCTGGAAGTTAAACTAACTCAATCTAGCAAAGCTTCTCTTTTTTGGACTGGATAGTAAAGCATTATTAATAAATGTTATTAATATAATAATATTAA